GCCCTCTATTTTCCCATTTTATAAACGGGGAGATTGAGGCTCAGAGAGGCGGGTCACTCGCCGCCCGTGACACAGTACAGTGAGGACATGTTAAGACAGAGTATTCCAAACCTCAAGTTCCGCTTTGCTCTGAGCTGCCTCCGGGCAAAAAGGCAAGTCACCGAGACGTGAATGTTGAAATCTCGAAGCGGAAACCTCACTGCTCACAACAGACTTGGAACTCCAGGAACCGAGGGCAGCACTCCCACAAGTCCGACCTGAGAAATCTCTGGAGAAAACTGGAGCAAAGCAAAGCTCAGCTCATGAGGTCCCCCTCCTGGGGTCTGAGGGAAGTGGCTGGTGCCAGGTTCAGAGTGGAGCTGCGATTCCTGGGAATGTCCAAGTTCCCAGGGCCCTGAGCGTGGGCTTGGTGGGAAATAGAAACGTGCCTGTGTGTACGTCTGCCCGTGTCTGCATATGCGCACGTCTTTGAGCTTGCACAAGCACACATGTGTCTTTGGGTACGTGCACGCACGTGTGCATATGCGGCCGTGCATTTGGGCACACGTGTGTGTGTGTGCAGGGAGCTTCAAAACCAGGTAAGACCAAGTGGAAATCCTGGCGTTGAGTGTGGGTCTGGAGTCTGTCCAGGGCCTCAGTTTCTCCACTGAGAAATGGACCAGCTTCTGCTGGATGCAAGGATTAGACTCCACCAAGACCAGCAACTATCAGATGTTACGGTATACAGTCTGTGCTATGGGCTCTGAAGAGGACGCCCGTGATATCCTTTGACTCTCAAAGCAAATCCAACGCTGAGTTTATCATCCACATTTTCATAGACACTTAAATTTTTTGTCATTCTAAAATGATACAAGCAGGGGCGCCTGGGTGGCTCAGATGGTTAAGCGTCTGCCTTCGGCTCAGGTCATGATCCCAGGGTCCTGGGATCGAGTCCCGCATCAGGCTCCCGGCTCAGCGGGGAGCCTGCTTCTCCCTCTGACCCTCTCCCCTCTCATGCTGTTTCTCTCTCACTCGCTCTCTAAAAAATAAATAAAATCTTTAAAAAAAAATAAAATGATACAAGCAAAGACTTCAAACCACACAGAAATGTCTGCAGTAAATAGTGACTATTCTCACCCACGACCCAGCCCTCTTCCCAAAGGAACATCTGTTAATAGGTGGGTGTGGAGTTTTCCAGAATTCGTGACCACGAATGTACAGATTTGAGTTTGTATTTCTATTTCTATAGAGTCCAATACAGTATATTAAAATGGTGATGTAAATACTGTAGAAAAGTGGATTTTCAATTAATGGGGCCTCCTTGACTCCTCTAGCTCATACCTCATTATCCAATGTTACGGACGCAGGAAATGGAGTCCCAGAGGGCATGGAGCTTGCTCAAGGTCACCTGTCGTTACACCCCCCCAAGCTGAGACATGACTAGAGTCTACCTGTCCATCCCAAGGCAGGTCCCTTCTGTAAGGATGAGACTTTAGACATTGAACACACAGTTCACTTGTTCATGGTCCTTTCATTGAACATTCATTCGATGCAGTGCCGTGGAGGAGGCCCCGGCCCAGGTGCGACAGAGCCGGGCAACCTTAGCTCAGGGGGTCAGGGACAGGCCTCCGGAAGCCAGAGGGGCAGCCAGGCCTCTGTCTGGAGAGAGCAGGGTGGCAAGTGGGCCTTGGAGGTTGAATGGAGGTCCCACAGGCATGGTGGGGCCTGGGCGCAGGGTGAAGCGTCACCCCCATTGTTGGCCAGCTAGGTGGCTTAGGAGCCTCCTCAGTACTTGACATTCATGAGTAGGAGCTGATACCTGACTCCGGGGCTAAACTGTAAGTCCCCACCACTGGCTGGAAAGGTTGCTGCCTGCTGCAACACGGTGCCAGTCCCAGCCAGATGGGGAAACTGAGGCTGGAACAGGTGTGGAGATTTGGAAGGCTTCGAAGAACTAGTGCAGCCTGGGGCCAGGCTCTTCCTCTTTCTGGGCCTCAGTTTCCCCATGTGTACAATGGGGGGGCAGCTGGCAGAGTGATAGCTGGGCAAGAATCTGGCTCCAGCTCCAGCATTGTCACTCTCCCTCCACCCTGCAACTCTCAACCCCCCACACATGGGAGTTCCACAATTTACCCCTCTCTGGCTGACCCTAGGCCTCAACCCTTCCTCTATCAAAGGGGGTTAATCTGGGGGTGTGACCCCACCCTCCAGCTGGCAGGGGAGTGGGGCCTCGGTGCACCGTGACTGGGCTTGGGGATCCTCATGTACAAGGTCTGCTTCCCAGGAGGGGAAACAGGCTCAAAATCAGGACCAGCCCCTCCTAAACCCTCTCTCCATGAGCAGTCCTGAATTACTGCTTTTAACCCTGCAAGCCCAAGGCCTCATTTCCCTGGAAGGCAACCAAGGCTTAGAAAGTCCTACTGTTGGGCGCCTGGATGGCTCAGTCGGTTAAGCGACTGCCTTCGGCTCAGGTCATGATCCTGGAGTCCCGGGATCGAGTCCCGCATTGGGCTCCCTGCTCGGCAGGGAGCCTGCTTCTCCCTCTGACCCTCCCCCCTCTCATGTGCTCTCTCTCTCTCAAATAAATAAATAAAATCTTAAAAAAAAAAAAAAAAAAGAAAGTCCTACTGTTCCACCTGTGGAAGGTTGGCTGTGGCCTCCTCCCTGCTGGCCCATCTCTGGCCTTCAAGACCCACACCCGTGGGTGGACACCAGACAGTTCTTGGACAGAAGGGGACATCAAGACCTAGAGAGACAGGATCCCCTCTGCCCAGGCCAAACAAGGTCACCCGCAGGAAGGTCAAGGTTGGAGGGAGCTCAGAGTGGGGGAATCTGGAGGAAGCAGAGGGGTGGCAGCTGGGTCCTCATCTGAAGCAGAGCATGGGGACTGGGTCTGGAGGGGTCAGGGCCCATGCTCTGTGGTTCAGTCCACCCTGAGGGCAGAGCCTGCCTCTTCCGGGGACCACAGCCCCCCACATCGTGGAGAGACAGGCACAGCTAGAAAAACTGGGGTGCTAACAGGGTCCCCCCAAAAAACGCATGGCACAGGAATGCTGTGGAGGGAGACAGTGAGGTGGGAGATGTCAGGAGCACCGCCTTGGTCCCAGAAATTCCATTTCTAAGGCTTTATCCACAGAGAGTGTGCTGGGATGTAGGAGCCAAGGCTTGGGAACAACTTGAATGCCTCTGGGTGGGGAACTTAAATGACAGTCCATTACATATATATGTAAATTTTCTGGGGAAAATTTTTAAGTGGAAAAAAGCAACAGGCAGATGAGAATGTGCAGAATTTGCATTTTAAAGAAAGGTTACACCTAAAATATGCCTATGTATCTACACGTAAGGGATCTGAGACCTGGGCGTTGGGGGTCGGGGAGACATTTTCCCACAGAACACACTTCTGTACCTTTTGCTTTGGGCCAGGTGTTACTTATTCACAAACAGTACTAGAAATTTTTATTCCCGTGAAAAAACCGTGGAGCCCTCCAGTTGCGTGAAGACACAAGTCTCCAAGCAGCATACCGGGTGTCTTATGTTAAAAAGTTTTTATTTGAGATTATTTTCTATTTCATTTTTATGTGGGAGGGGAGAGGGGCAACTTCATGCCTCACTCTGCACATATCTGCTTTCATCATTTACAAAGAAAATGTACACGTGTTGCTTGAACGTGCATGTTTGCAAGTATTACGGACCCACGTTACGTACATGCAGAGCAAAAGCTTGCCTTAAAACCACAAGCTGCTTTCAATGTCCAGGGCGCCTTCTGCTTCTCAGGGCCCTGCGAAGGCTTCCAGGAAAGGGTGCTGGGGAGAAGGAAAGGGGAGGGGCCCTCCAGGCCCAGAAAGGCATATTTAGGTCCCAGTCCACTCTAAACAGCAAGAGAGCAGAGGAAATCTTACCTGCCAAACTAGAAGAAATCCTTCCCGGATTGCAGAACAGAAATAGAGCCTCAGGTCAAAGCCTAGATGGGTGTCCCAGGCCGAAGACTCTCGCCCCATGTGTCATCTATATGACCTTCACCGGCCCGCAGAGGTGACAAAAGGAGGTGTCGGCCAGTTAGGGGCAGCTGCTGGAGAGCCATTCCGCTCACACCCTACCTCCAGTCTCCCGAGAAGGGGTGGGAGATGAGGTGGGGTAGCTGTGGGTTCTGAGCGACTTTCTCAGGGAGGGCGCTGAAGCCCGCAGTCAGACCCCACCCCCTCGGGCTCTCATGAAAATGAAGGCAAGAGGAGGAGGTACTTGACTGGCCATAGCTCCCATCATGGTCAAATGGGTCCCTGCCACTCCTGAGCATTGTCCAGCACACAGCAGGGAAAACGGAGGCTTGGGTTCCCACATCAGCTCCTAGGGGGCCCTGTTTCATCTGCCCCTAACTGGCTGACACTCCAAACCCTTCCTGGGCCCCCTCCGCCCTGCGTCCAACAGCAGCCTGGCTCCTCCGCATCACTCTGTTCTCACGTGGAAGCCCCTGCAGGTCTGGTACGTGCCTGCTGTAGCCTTTGTCCTCATCCCTTCCCCAAAGGGCCAGAAGCTGTCGGTGGAGGAATCAGATGCAGAGTGGGCAGCACACGGGAACAGCAGGGAGCTGTGAAGATGCCCCACAGGCAGGCCCCTTCAGTCAGGGGGAGGCCCGGGTGGCCCCGGTTTAACGCTTGACAGCTGGAGCCCCGACCCTGGGAGCGGGTAAAGCCTTGAGGGGGGCATCATCAGCAGTAGGGCAGGTATCCCTGATGCTCTCAAAGGTGGGTTTTATACCCAGCAATAACCCCCTACTCAGAAGAGGACATGCTCACACCCCACGGTTGGCACGGGTCCCTGCCTGCTCTCTGGCACCCTCCAGGCTTTCCCAGCAACTGAACAGGCCCCCTGGCTGGGGAGATCAGGCAGAGAGGCCCTGGCAGGCAGAGGGCATGCCTGGGAGGCCACAGTGTGTCCAACCTTCTTCCCTGGAGGTACTTCAACATCTGTCACGTGGTCCCCGACCCGCCGCATTTTCAAAACACATCACCAGAGACGGGAAATTGGGTTTCCTCTACATTTATTGCAACTGCTAAATGATTAACAACATTCACAACTTCTTAGATTTAAAAAACAAAAACAAAACAAACAAAAAACTTCCGTTTTGTAACATCACAAATGTCTTCTAGGTTTTACCAAGGACCAAAAATGCTAAAATTCTCTATATGATTTCCAGTGTTGGAAACAAGCCAGAGACAGTAAGCACCCAAAGTGGCGAGTTAGCACTTTCCGGATGCCTGTCGTCCTCATGGAAGAGACCCTGGAACTAGAATGACAGAAAAGACACTGTGACTTTGACAAGGCTATGCAACTGCACATCGCGCTCGCACGCACACTCCCTGAGAGCAGCCTCTGCCAGGGAGCGCAAGGGCGAGCGCGGAGGGCCCGTGTGCCCTGGTCCCTGGCCAACAGCCGGTGCGAGGACGCACCACCAGGCTCCGCCCCGGCTCCCATGACGCCAGCCCCACAGGAAAAGCATCACCTGAGTGCTCACAGGACTTTCCAGGATCAAGAAGGAGGTGTTCCCTTTGACATGTGCCAAAGGCTCCCAGGGTCAGCTCAAAGTGGGATGTCCCCAGGAGGAAGAGTGGCAGGAGGCTGCGGGGACAGGGCTTATACCCTGGGAATTCTTAAAGCATTTTACTTACAGATAGAAGCGGAGAGAGCCAAGAACGAATATACTAGCACAACGTGCATATGATGGTCAGAGCTATCTATGCTGCAGAGAAAGAGCGAGAACCTACTGGGGGAGTCCACATCTTGCTCGGGGCCAATGGGGCACTCTGTCAAAGGCAGTCTGCCAAAGGGGTGTCTTTTGGCTCAGAGTTCCATCCATGCGCTCAACCCATGGCCAGCAAGGAAAGCTACTGGAAGGATTAGGAAAGAAAGGAGATGAACCTGAACCCCTACAGCTGTGGTTCCCCTATACCACACGGCCCCTGCAGGCTGCTTCGACTTTGCTGAGGCACCTCCATCATCTCCCTGGCCATAAAGATCTGCCGGGCGCCCACGCAACAGGAGCAACCAGGGGCAAGGAGAGCCTGGAGGCTCCACCGGACACGAAGAGACACAGCACAGGCCTGTGACGGTGGGTGTGGGCCCCACAAGACAAAGGGAAGATTGGCCAACACGGTAACTCACGGCTGGGGGCCCCCCCACCCGAGCTCACAGTGTCAGCAGGATCCCAAGGTCCCCAGATCTGAGTAAAGATTTAAAACTTCCACACTGCTGCTTTATGAGAAAGGCCCGAGACCCCCACGACCTGAGAACTTCGCACGTAGCTGCAAGGAGGGTGCGCCGGGGGAAGATGAAGGGCAGCCGTCACGCACCTAGAAACAGCAAGTAGCTGCCGGCCCGCCCTGCTTCTGTTCTGTACAAAGGCCCTGATAACACAATTCTTCACGCTGCCGCGCAGGCCAGGAATGAAGCCTCTTGAAGAGTTCACACCCCCAGCCGTTGGTAGAAGAGACTCCATATGTGGTTTTTAAAGAAAGCAAACTGCAGTTTGTGGATTCTAGGGAGACATGTGAATTTGAGAGAAGTTTCATCAACGTAATGATTCCTCCCCACTGAATACTGCTCTATTATCCTGTCGCTAAACTTCTATCACGTCTCTTGGGAGGCATTTAAGAGCCGAGCCTCCATAAATACCACGTTCGTGGAATCAAGTATCTCCACTTGTTCAAAGAGTTCCCATGCCCCAACCTGCAGGCTGTGGACCAGAGCGGACTTCACTAATACCGGATTACATCCCCTATTTACAGCCTGGAAGCAACGAAAAGCCACCATCTGTCATCATTTGGGCACCAAGTTTGCTAAGAGAGCACCTCTGAGAGCAAGGTTCTCTGCGACGGGAGACCCGCCCAGAGCTGGTTCCTGAGCACAAACAGGGCCCCGGTGCTTCCAAGGGCAGCACCACCTTCCTAGGGGGAGCCAGGAAAGACTTGCAGGGGACTGGCTGCCATAAGCATTTGGAAGAGGGGGAAAGGCAAAAGCAGATCGGAAATGGCGCTTTCTTTTTTCCTTTAAGAAGAAGAAAAGCCAGCGTTCGGACCCTCCACACCAGAGCTGCAGAGATGCTCGCCTCTCGTGTACACACCGAACCTACTTGGCCACTGGCTCCAGGGCAGATCCGGGGCAGAGGTGGCGCTTTAAGAGCAATTGCTGCTTCGAGCCTTAGTTTTCTCACCAATGGTTTCATCTATTCAGGGAGAGAACGATTTTGTTCATAACTGAGTTGGAAATTACAGGTGGGGAAGGCAACTAAAAAGAGGAGAAAGAAGGGGATGTTTATATGGGCCCAAGGCCCTTGAGAATGAAACGGATTTGAAGATGCTCAGAAAAAGGATGTGGCAAAGCAGCTGGCCTGTGCAGCTCCGGCTTCAGATCGCCCTCACCCTCGCAGGACACCAGGCCACTCCCTGGGCGACCTCTCTCCCCAGGACGGCCGCGGGCAGTCGAACCCAGGAGCCCCGCACCAAGGCCCGCTGTCGGGCTGCATGCTTGCGAGCTCGGGGCTCACTCCTTCAACCAAACCTGGAAGGTGAGGGGTGGGACACATCCACATCCAAACACTCTGTTACCCTCACAGAATGTTTTCGTGTGTGTGTGTGTGTTTGGTTTCATGTTTGGTTTTGGGGGGATGGGGAACTCTGACTTTTCTGGAGAAATTGTCTCTACATACCAGCACGTCAGCTTAGGCAGAATGCCCCATGCACTAGCTCACACACATACCTATTTGTTGGCCCGTTTGTGTCTGTACATCTGCATCATCCTCTGACGGAACACGTCAAATGTGTCTTCCTTGTGCTCCTGCCCGTCAGCACCTAACCCCTCCCCTTCCGACGCAGTTCCCCTAGGAGCAAAATGGAGAGTTAGCCACACCGAGCACAGAGCCTGGCCGCCAGGGGACTGGAAACGGCACAAGGCGTCAGAGTGGGACAGAGGCACGTGGGACACACAACAGGGAAAAGGAGAGGGAAAGTGAAGACACAATTCACAGCGCGGAACAAGGGGTACTCACCTGCGCAGGTGTGCGGACTTTCTGAGGCGCGTGCTCAGAAGCCCGATTACAGCAGAAAACCTCCCCCAGCAGGTGGTAAGCTCAGTTTTAAATGAAATGCCTGCTGAATGTTAATGGGGCCTAACAAACTCTGGGCCATGTTCTCCCACGCTGGCTAGCTGGCGTATGGGTTCTCAGAAAAAGGAAAGTGATTTTTATCATAACTACCTAGAATTACCACTCAGCTTTTAGGACAATAAGGAATGTGGCTGAAATGCCAGGGCCCAGAAGCCACTTAAATCGTCTGTGTGAGTGCAGCAAGGAGCCAGTATGAACACCTGCATATATAAATGATCTGCTTCTCACCTCATTTGAAGACTCCCTTTGTCAGGAAAAAAACCCTGCCAACTTTAAGCCATGTTTAACATGAGGGGAGCCAAGAAATCAGGCTGCAGATCAAAGGACTCAGAACCAGAATCCCAAAGAGAGCCTCATCTCCCCGAGCACGCTGCCCATCCCCACCCCTGGCCCCAAGCGCCTGCTGCGTACACGCTGACGGGCTCCCTGATGCCCTTCCCACAGGAGCCCAGGCCGTGGCCCTCCTTCCAGCCCATCTTCTGCAGCATCTGGAACCCCAGGTTCTTGTCAGTCAGCTTCTGCTGGGCAAAGTCAAAGTCCTTGGGTTTCTGAGGAGAGATAAGATTATGGCAAGTGGTTTGCAGCAAAGTGCCTGGAGCAAGGGTCGGCCCATGCTGCACCTGACACAGTCCAGTACCCCCACCCCCCCACTGTCTCCAATTCCTCAGACACTGGGATAAAGCCACAGGCTGCTTCCTAGCTCCCAGCAACATTCCCTGGGTAGGCTGGGGCTTCTAAAAGTGGGGAGTAGGGGCGCATGGGTGGCTCAGTCGTTAAGCATCTGCCTTTAGCTCAGGTCATGATCCCAGTGTCTTAGGATCGAGTCCCGCATCGGGCTCTCTGCTCAGCGGGGAGCCTGCTTCTCCCTCTCCCACTCCCCCTGCTTGTGTTCCCTCTCTCGCTGTGTGTCTCTGTCAAATAAATAAAATCTTAAAAAAAAAAAAAAAGGTGGGGAGTAAAGAGATGCCCCCACAGAACCAAGCCAGACCAGCCTCTCAGGCCCCAGTGTGACCACTCCCACCGTGGTGCTAAGACCATGAGGAAAACCCCATGAGGGGCTGGGGGGTCTTGGGGCCAAGGGGTTAGCAGGAAGAGCCCTAAGCGGTGGTGACCTGTGATGGCCAGAGGGTACACTCTAGGCTGGGGGTAACCAGGGCACAGGCTTGAGGCAGGAAGGCCCCTGGTGTGCAGGAGTCAGATGGGAGGCAGGGCTGACGCAGGAGGGGGCTGAACAGGCCATGAACCTGCTGTGTAGAGAGACTGTGTGAAAAACTGGCTTGCAGGGTCCTCCCTACTCCCCCACTCCATTTGGAACAAGCCTATGGGCTTCCAGAACTCTGAGCAGTGACCCCATCCTGGAAGCCTCTCTGGCAGCCCTCAGACATTGCTCAGCAAACCTGAATGACTTGTCTGTCTGTCCAACTGCCCCTTCCCAGGTCTGGGAGCTCCCCAAGGGCAGAGACTGGGTTTTTTTGTTTTGTTTTTTTTAAAGATTTTATTCATTTTTTTTTTTTTAAGATTTTATTTATTTATTTATTTATTTATTTGAGAGAGAGAGAATGAGAGACAGAGAGCATGAAGGAGGGTCAGAGGGAGAAGCAGACTCCCCGCCAAGCAGGGAGCCTGATGCGGGACTCGATCCCGGGACTCCAGGATCATGACCTGAGCCGAAGGCAGTCGCTCAACCAACTGAGCCACCCAGGCACCCAAGATTTTATTCATTTATTTGACAGAGAGAGACACAGAGAGAGCAGGAACACAAGCATGGGGAGTGGGAGAGGGAGAAGCAGGCTTCCCACGGAGCAGGGAGCCCGATGCGGGGCTTGATCCCAGGACCCTGGGATCATGACCTGAGCCGAAGGCAGAGGCTTAGCGACTGAACCACCCAGGCGCCCCCAGAGACTGGGTTTTACTGGGACTCTGGGGTCCATGTCTAGCACAAAGCAGACCTCACTGAGAGCTGGTATAGCTGGGAAGACCCTCCAGGTAGAGGAGCAAGAAGCCCTGGATAAGACGTGGGCTCAGAACCGGCTGTGGAAAGACAGGTTAAAAGGCCTGGGGGCCTCTGGAGAGCCTGCCCAGTGTGGGCAGAAAATATTTCCATTTATGGGGCGCCTGGGTGACTCAGTTAAGTGTCTGCCTTCAGCTCAGGTCATGATCCCAGGGTCCTAGGATCGAGCCCCACATCAGGTTCCCTGCTCAACAGGGAGCCTGCTTCTCCCTTTCCCTCTGCTTGCCACTTCCCTTGCTTATGTGCGCATGCTCTCTCTCTGTCAAATAAATAAATAAAACCTTAAAAATAGAAAGAAAATATTTCTATTTACTCATGCATATTCATCAGTACCCATGTCCCTACCACCTGAGCCTATTTTTAAAAGACATTTACTCAACACCGAGGACAACCTGGGTAGGCTGAGAAGGCCGCATATACTTCTGGGGAAAGGGCTCCTCCATCCTGATCAAGGCAGCTCGTGCTGGGGGGTAATGGTGAGGGTCTGAGGGTCTGAGCAGGGAACAAGTATGGGAAGGGAAGAGGGTGGGGAAGGCAAGGGAAAGGCTGGCCACAGGTCCCCAAAGGGCAGATCCGCACCCCTCCGGGAAAGCTGCTTAGCTGGAGAAAGCTGGAAGCTCTCGGCCTACAGTCACCTCATGGAGAGACTGGAGCTCGCAGGACACGGCTGCACAGCCAGTTAACATGCATTTAGTTTCATTCGTAAGGCACCTCTGAACCACAGGGTAGGAGAGACTGTCCCACGTCACAGATGTACAAATGGGAGACTCAGGAGTTACATGCCAAGATTAGGTGGCCAGGCTGAGACTGAGCCTGGCTGCCCCCTCACCCAGATCACCAGACGGGCAGCCGGGTGCCAGCACAAATTCAAACTGAGCACGTCAGTTAGGACCACGGGCTTTGGGCCCAGGCAAGTCCCCCCTCCCTGCTGTAACTGGGCTTACGCCGACCCCTCCTCTAGCCACTGAGACGACAGTGTACTTGAACAGTCTGCCACACAGGCTTTCCTCACCACGCCACGCCAGCAGAGACCTCACCTGGTTCCCGGCTCACCTCCCTGACCTCTAAGGAGCTGGGATGTCCCCACATATGTCCGAGGTGACCTCGCCCAGCCTTACCTGTCCCCACATGTTCACCTAGCTGTCTGGAGAGCACTCCATCTGCCTGATGACCTGCCCCCCACAGGGTCTCTCCATTTCAGTCAGTGGCAGCTCCGTCCTCCCAGCTGCCCGGGCAGACAACCGTGGAGGTGCCCTGGACTCGGCCTGGCCATTCCACACGTAGTCCATCGGCAAGTCCCACCGACTGCGTCCTCACCCGCCCGGCCCCTGGCTCTCCCCGGCCCCGCCGCCGATAGGCTGCTCTGAGCACCGCAGCCAAAGTGGCCACATCTTCCCCCCAAATGACCACCGCGGGTCCCCGAGGGCCTCCCCCCGAGAAGGAGCCTCACTGTGACATCTGTCTACAGGCCCCTTGTAACCCGGGGCCTCACCGCCATTACCGCCTCATCTCCCCAGCCCCGTGTGGGTGCCACAGAGGGCCACCTGTTGACACAGGACCACCCTGGGGCCTCTCCCAGGCCTCCCTGAATAAATGGCACCCCCAACCCCACATTCGCCATCTCCCCTCGACCTGCTTCTCCGTACCCAGGGCACACAGGCCACAGGAGTCTCACACAAACCTGTCCCTGTTGGAGGCTGCTGCCTCCAGGTGGGCAGACGGGGCCTGGCGCAGAGGAAGTGACCGCCAGTTAACGCGCTCGTGTGTGTGTGCACCCATCCGCGCACGGCCTTGGCTTACTAGCCAGTTAGTGTGCTCTTTTTTTTTTTTTTAAAGATTTTATTTATTTATTTGAGAGAGAGAGAATGAGAGAGAACACATGAGAGGGGGGAGGGCCAGAGGGAGAAGCAGACTCCCTGCCGAGCAGGGAGCCTGATGCGGGACTCGATCCCGGGACTCCAGGATCATGACCTGAGCCGAAGGCAGTCGCTTAACCAACTGAGCCACCCAGGCGCCCAGTTAGTGTGCTCCTTAACCATCATTACAGGCCCCTAAATCTGAACTTCTCAAGGGCCAGGACATCACCTTGTTCACCTCTCCCAACACACTGCGAGTATCAGGCCTCACCCATTTGTTAAACTAATTACTACCCTCCTGCGCTTCAGGCAACGCAAAACAGTTTCAAGAAATCCCTGAGAAGAAAGGCTGTTCCATAGGCTTTGTACATCGTGCCGGTCGGAAGTACGAGTATACTGAGTATACTGCAGTTACGAGCCACCGTGCCCTTTAAAACTCTGGCAAATTCCAACTGACTATGCCACGCGTGAGAACTGTCATGCTCACCTTCTTTTTGGACACGGGACGACCCCGAGGTCTGTCGTAGGCGATGCGAACTGGTTCATGAACTGAAAAACACAAGAAACATATCCGTACCCACACACGTCACTCAGAAGACGTGAGTGCCGCAGTTCAGGCTCGGCCGCCGGAAGGGAGCCACGGCCTGCACCACGGCCCACCGGCCTGCCTCCCAGGAATCACGGGCCCGCGGACAGAGGCGGGAACACGCGGGCCCAACTGAGGGCTGCTCGGTGGGGAAGAGCCTACTTTAACGTAGGACTTCCCGCGTGTATGACGAAGGGCTCCATGCGTGGATCGTTTTCCGTGGCTGCAAGACCCCGTTTTGTTTCAATAAACTATCTGCCATCTCCTGCCCTCCTAGTGTCTCTGCAGCAACTGATCCACTGATAAAGAGTTAAAGTCTGCAGAGAATTTTCCAGTAAAGCAACCATGCTTCTCATACAGAGCACTGAATCACATTACAGCCTTATTTTTTTTTTTTTTATTTGCGAGAGAGAGAATGAGAGACAGAGAGCATGAGAGGGCGGAGGGTCAGAGGGAGAAGCAGACTCCCCGCCGAGCAGGGAGCCCGATGCGGGACTCGATCCTGGGACTCCAGGATCATGACCTGAGCCGAAGGCAGTCGCTCAACCAACTGAGCCACCCAGGCGCCCCAGCCTTATTTTTGATGGAGAGATCAGCAGGGCTGCTTTTTTTCTCATCAACCACCCAAGGAACTGAGAGCTTCCAAAATAGAAGAAGCTCCACTTCTCCCCCTCGCGGGACATGAGGCATTCGGAGAGGCTGCCGCCATCAGCAGGAAGTTGTGATGGACGTCCGAATTGGGTACAAGAGCTGGCAACCGTGGTAACGCCAAGGTTCCCAGACACAAACCACAGGACCATTCCATCGGCAGGGGAAACGAAACTGATGCTCCTGGGTGAGTGACAGTGTCAACAATGCAGAGCAGCCAGGTGACACTAGACGGGGCACTGTTCGCCACAGCCACCTCAGAGGAAGCTGTGGTGGCAGGAAGCACAGCCCAGGCCTGGCTTTGTGGCGACACTGGGGCGGGGGGGGGGGGGGGCCATGAGGAACAACCTGGGCCATGGCCGGCCCGTCAAAAGGCCGCACATGATGCCATTCTGCCTACTGACAGTCTAGAAAATTTTGGCAGAACCACGAGGCCAGAAAACGGGGCGGGGACCACAGACAGACACAGACGTTTCTGGAAAAAGGCTCTAGCTCCGCCGCACTGGAGGAGTTTATGCCTGTACACGATCTCGCCAGAACTCCTCCAACTGTCCCCTTAAAAAGGATGCGTGTTGGGCGCCTGGGTGGCTCAGTCGTTAAGCGTCTGCCTTCAGCTCAGGTCATGGTCCCAGGGTCCTGGGATCGAGCCCCGCATCGGGCTCCCTGCTCTCCCTCTCCCACTCCCCCTACTTGTGTTCCCTCTCTTGCTGTGTCTCTCTCTGTCAAATAAATAAATAAAATCTTAAAAAAAAAAAAAGGATGCGTGCTACTGCCATTAACCGTACCTCAGGAACCTGAACCCTCCCCACAGAAGAACAGGGGATGACCTCCCATAGCCTGGGCAGTGGAGTACAGAGCACGTGGCTCCCACTAACCACTGCCCAAGACCACTGCCGCCTGTGTCCTCCCTCCTCGTCATCGCTAAGCAGGCATCAGTGCCCTGGGTCTTCTAGGGGCTCAGAAGGCTGGGTCCTCCCCAAGGTCACGGGTGGGAAACAGCGGAGATGACCAAGGCCCGTGCCCTCCACAGCCGGGGCTCCCCCACCGGACCGTGACGGAAACACCAAGCAGCATCCGACGCTAACACGCGGCTGCCACACTGACGCAGCGCGCGCCCTCGGACTGCCAGCCTCACGCCAGCCGTGAGGTGAGCTTCACGGAGCACGTGGGAGGGGTATGCAAAACCACCAGAACTAGTTTAGGTTAAAAACACAAGACCGAAGAACCTCGTGTTCTGTTGGCCCTGGGGGGATTTGGGGAGGTAACGTCCAGGTTGGTAGGTGCAGTCAGAGGCGGGAAGGGGGACAGGGACTGGCTGGTCATCTTGTGGCTAAGCCTGGGCTAAGGGCCAGTAAATTCTTCCACACAGTCAGGTGACATCAGCTGGTCTCCACAACTTTTCCTGGTCCACAACTGAGCAGCACAGTTCCTCCTTCAGTGCTAAACGGAAGCCCGTGCTCGGGAAGCCATGATGAATGTCTGGCACTCACCTTTGGGCTCCTGGATGAGGCACAGCCTCTTGGGAGCTGGAATCATGCCGACCTTTAAGGACTTGCTGCTGACTCTCTTCCGGGGGAAGCAGGCCCCCGAGGAGGCCTGTGACAGGGCAGGTGCACCAGCTGGGCCATCTTCAGCTGCCTCGCTCGGGAGGCCATCGGTGGGGGGGCTGCCCTCAGAGCCCTCGGACTTGGCCGCCCCTCCTGCTGACCTGGAGGCCCCTCTAGGAGTGGAGCCCTCTTCGCCCCCCTCCTCATCCTCCTCCTCATCCTCCTCGTCCTCCTCATCCTCCTCAGGCATCACCTCTGGGCTTTCCAGCTCAGCCTCGTGCTGCGGGGGCTCATCTTCAAACTCTCCTTCCCCTTCCATGGGATCAAGGGGGCTTTCCTGAGAATCAGCGCTCTCACCGGCGTGGAGGTTCAGTGGAGAGGATGTAAAACAAATCGATGGGCATAACTCAAATACTTTCTTTCGATAGAACTTGAAGGCTGAACTATTTTGGTCATGGAGAAACCTGGGGCAAGGATGAAAAACACTGGTGAATCAGAGTCCTCTGAACATTCATATTTACTAAATTATCCGGAAGAGATCCAACAAAGCTGGGAGTGGAACCAACAAATAACCTGACCTCTTTCTACCAACTATGGCTGATGGTGCAGCTTCACAATGAGACAGAGAAGTCCGAGGAGTAGCAGCAATTTAACAAAGGAGCCAGAACGTTAAGAGGCCCCACTGCTTTTCAGGGGAGGGCAGGAGAGGAACAAGGTATGCAGAAATGACCAAGGAATGTGCTGGAAAAAGCTCCAACACTGCAGCCAGAGATCTAACCCGGCCCTCTCCTCATCCCCTTCTAGTCTGTCACCAGCCACTCTGGGACTCCCGTGCGCTCAGGGTAACTGCCCGGTTCCTCTCACACTGCCAGGTAGGAGACTGAGGAAGGCGCGTCCCTTCTGCCCCTCATTCTGCAGTGAAGCTGAGTCAATGTGGTGGCAATACTGCCTCTCGAAGCCTCACAGTCCCACGGCCACCCTGACCCAGGGCTGTGGCTAATGTGAGAAACTGAAAACATGCACGAAGACACAAAATACATTTGGACCCAAGGAAAGAAGCCCTTGTTCTTGGCTAGAACAACAACCTCATAACGATGTCAAGTCTTCCCTAATTAAAATATTAATGCATAAGCCTCTCTCAATAAGTGCATCTTTTTTTTCTGGGTTTGAACATGATTCTAGACTTCACAGAGAAAAATAAATAGGTAAGGGTATTTGGGAGAACTCTAAACAAAATCTGTGAAGGGTTCCGGCCTTACCAGACATTACAAGGTGTATGAAGCCTCTAAGGCACAACAGTGTGGGACCAGTCCTTGGACACACGGACAGAAACACCAAGACAAAGGCCAGAAACATGGTATCTGATGAAGTCAGGGATAGAGACTGCTTAAAAATAAAAACTTAGAAAAAAAAAAAAGAAAAAAACAAAACTAAGTAATCTCTACACCCAATGTGGGGCTCCATAACCCCAAGATCAAGAGTTGTATGCCCTTCCAACTGAGCCTCTCAGGCACCCCAAAAATAAAAATCTTCAAAAAAAAAAAATTTTTTTTGAGAAAGAAAAAGTCCAAAAAACCCAATAGAAAAAAGGGCAAAGATTAAGAACTTGAGCCCTCCAAAAGACAACTAGAATGAGAAAACCAGTCATAGACCAGGAGAAGGTATCTGCAAATCATACATCTGACAAAGGACTCCTATAAACAATGTATAAAGAACCCTCAAAATTGATTAGTAAGTAAATAAATGACCCAATCAAAAAATGGACCCAAGATCCAAATGAACACTTAAGTATGGGAAGCACCCAAGTACAGTTGAAGACACTCTGCACCACTAGTCCTTGGAGAAATGAGGACCACAGTGCGACACCGCCCCCCCGCCGACCCCGCATTGGGATGCTAACATGAAAAAGCTGACACCAGCAAGTGCTGTGTGGGGAGGAACTGGAACTCTCGTCCAGGCTGCTAAAAATGCAAAATGGCACTACCACGTGGAAAGGCAACTTGGCAGTTTCTTCAAAAGTTAACGGTGGGCCCACCATGGAGCCAGCCTTTCCTCTCCTTGGTATTTCCTGGAAAGAAATAAAGACCTTATCCACAACGGCTCACAGCAGCTTTACCTATAATCGCCCCAGACTGGAAACATCTCAATGCCATCAACAGGTGATGGGTAAACAACTGGTCCAGCCACACAGTGGGATACACTCAGCAGCAAAGAGGAATGAATTGGGGATACACGCAACAAACATGGCTGATCCGAGAACTGTGCTGAATAAAGGGGCCAGACAAAAAGCAAGAAAAAGCTGCATTTACACAAAATTCAAAAAATTGCAAACTATTTACAACAAAGCTTTTTTAAAGGACAAACCTTTTTTTAAGAGACAAATGAACAGTTCACATGAAAATAAAGGACACAAGTTTATGAAAAGATGTTCAATTTCACTCGTAAGAAAAATGGAAACTAAAATTTCATGGTGGAAATAAGAAATTTCTCATGAATCCTACTGACTCTAAGACATGCCAAAAGGTGAGGGATGGGGACAGGTACTCTGGACACTGCTTTGGGAGGGGCTCTCGGGGAGGGGTATTTCCATTATTTAACAAAATTACATGTGCAATGACCTTGGACCCCACAGTCCCCCTTCTGGAAGATACATGAAGATTCTCTCCACAGAGTCATTGTGCGTAAGGCCACTGGTGGGGCCGTAAGAACAACGTGAATGCCGATAGCTGGGGAGTGACCCTGATGTGGCTGCATGTGGAGAATGACAGTGGACAAGAGAACGAGGGGACAGGTGGGACAGGCACAGGGGACTTCTGGATAGGTGGTGAAGGGAAAAAAGCAAGGTGCAAAAGTGTCTATTACATATAAAAAGTTACATGTAAGAACAAAAGGGGAAATGCACATACCCACTAGAATTGAATGAAATGGTTTCCTGTTGATGGGTGAGGGGATTCCCACTCAGAGACTTCTCTGAGCCTACCTTTTGTAATTTTTATTTTAGAACCATGCAAATGCTGAACTTATTTTTAAAATTAAATTTGAAAGGATAGAAAAAAATAGCCCTAAAACTGAATCTCTGTAGAAAAAATGAACCTGACTATACGTCAAATCGATGACATAACCACAGACAAAAACAGAATCAACTCAAACAGCATTAGAGGTATACTCTTTCTAAAGGAAAAGAAACACAAAGTCACCTTGACCTTTATTAAATACGTGTGCTGTTGGATGCAGCCATTCTCAAACTGCTCTATGAGCACTGGGCTGGGGGACAGAGTGAATCACTCCACCTAACATTACTGTACAATAATGGGGGACTCTGTGTGGGGAGGGAAGGGACAGGGCCTCCTAAGGAACATTGCTCAGAAAAGGCTGTCAGAAACGGTGACGGATAAACCCAAACCACAGCAGTGCCAGGATAATGCAGAATTCTCCTTTGGGGGAAAAAACAACAACAAAAAACCCACAATTGATGAAATGTTCCTGGCTGCCCTTAGTGGAGCTGTCCCCTTCACCGGGTCTGCCCAACTCTGAGGTGTGCTAGGCCCAGCTGGCCCCAAGGTCACCAGGCCTGTAAAAGGCAAAACCGGGCTGAGCCCCCATGAAGCTGTCAGTGCTCCCCGAGGCTGGTCTGGGTCTCATAGGAAGCAGGAGGCATGCCCAGTGCAGAACCTACTCAAGGTCCCCAACAAGCTGGAAGAACATGCTGGGTCACACCACTGGGTCCCAGAAATGCTCTAGGAAATGTGTAGTTTTCAACCGTAGTCTTAATTAGACTTAATTAGGCATGGCTCTCCAGCATGGTAGGAGCAGGGCAAGGGTCCAGAGTTCCCAGCCAACAGGAGGATACAATTTTTTTTTTTTTTTTTAAGATTTTACTTATTTATCTGAGAGAGGGAGACTGAGAGAGAGAGCACATGAGAGGGGGGAGGGTCGGGAGGGTCACAGGGAGAAGCAGATTCCCCGCCAAGCAGGGAGCCTGATGCGGGACTCGATCCAGGGACTCCAGGATCATGACCTGAGCCGAAGGCAGCCGCTTAACCAACTGAGCCACCCAGGCGCCCGGGAGGATACAATTTAAACAGCATGGGAACCCCACCTGGTTATGGCTCAGTATCAGGAACACGGGGCTCCCAGGTAGCCTCCCCCTGAAGGAGGTGAACCTGTGCCCCACAAGGCAGAGCAGGCTCCTGGTTCTGTCACCTGCAGGCTGTGTGGTGCTGACTAGGCACCCCATCTGAGGAATGGCAAGGGTAACAGCACCCCCTCCTGGCAAAAGGATGCCAGGCCCCCACTACATGGAAGTGCTTGCTGCCCACAGCTGGACCAGGACCCCATCCATCACTGCCCGGAGCACTGGTGTGACCAGGGACAGTGCACCGCCCTCCTCCTCCCCCTACCCCACACCACTCGGCATCTGCAGAGGTTCTAGGGAACCGATTAGCCTCTCTGGCTGGGTGCTCTCTCCCCCTTCCCCTGATCAAAGCCCACTTGACCTTCAAATACAGCTTAAACTTCCCTCCAGGGCAGGTTTTTTCTGATGCCCCAGAGGAGGGCAGCACCGCCCAACACCCCTAAGCAGACGCTTTCCCCTCACAGCCCTGAGCTTGGCAGAAGCGAAGCCATGACTTTTCCTCGGGTGCCTCCTGGGGCAGAAGTGTGTCTGCCAGGCCACCCCACAGGCTCTCTCTCAGGACACTCATAGAGTAAACAAATTCAAAGGGCACGATGGCTACATACCACAAGTCAGGGTTGTCAGTGCTGTTTTCTATGCTGAACTGTTCAATCTCTGGTCCCACCTGAGCAACAAATCTGGCCAGTTTCTCTGCAGTTTCCATGGTCTTCATGTCAACTACAAAACAAAGTGACTGTCACATGTCAGTTCTGAGCGGCTGCTTCCAATTTCAACTTTGGGGGGGTGGTTATGGAGACTAATTATAAAGACAACTCCTCATGTCCCCTCACTGCATCCTTGCCCTTTGCCATGGGACTCTGTAGCTCTGTCCAGCAGAAGGAGATTCTCTTCTCTCCCCCCAAAACTGGGGCTGGCCCTGGGACTCCTGCTGACTGATAGAAGGTGGCATCAGTGTGGAACCTGGGCTTCAGAGGCCTTGAGCACCTCCGCTGCCCTCCTGGAGGCCCAACCCTGTCAGGTGAACAAATCCAGGCTGGCTGCTAGGGGGCGAAAGGCATGTGGCCCAGACATCCCTGTTACCTCAGCCGATGGCCCCACACAACCAGCTGCTGCCTACCAACACATGGGTGGGCCCAGCCCAGTTCAGCAGACTTGGAGCACTGGATACCCCGTTGGAAGGCATAGCTCAGAACGGCTCTTTATACAGCAAAAGCTAGAGAATGTAGCAGTGGTGGAGACTTTGTTTCCCCTCTCCATTCCCACCTAGTGGTAAGTGCGAAGTACTGGTCGGGGGCAGGCCTGTCGCAGAGAAAAGGTAATGGCCAGAAGAAACTGCAGGTCAGCTAACCCTAAGAAAGGAAACAGACCTTGGGAAAGAAAAGGCAGAACGAGAGACGAGGGCAGCCCTACAGAAGGTATAGAGGAGCAAGAACAGAGGGAGAAATGGATGGAGGTGCTCAAAGCCCCAAGCATGGGCCCAGGGCACAACCGGGTGGCCAGCAGGAGGACCTGGTAGGGGAGCATGGTGAGTCAGCTTGACCCCTGGACAGGAGGAAGCCGGCTACAGGACTCGAGGGCCAGCCCCTCTAGGAAATAAGAGGAGAGTGCCTCCACGTGCACCTGTCCTGGCCAGGTCCCTGTTGCTCCTGCCTGCTGCACAGATGGCTCAGACCACCCAGGTCTCCCACCCCCAACCCTGAGGGACCCCTGGAGGTTGGAGAGTCGGGGCTGGGGCCCAGAAGAGGGGGATGGGAGTGAGTACCCACCGTCAGCAGATGGGCAGGGAGAGGAGGTCTGAGGGGCTTCAGAGACTCCCACTCCTGCTGGCTTGGGGGATGGGCCCGAGGCTTCTGGGCTGGGGTCCCCAGGAGAGGGTCCGGCCGGGTCAGGCGGGCAGTCCTTGGCAGTTTCATTTCCATCTGGCTGGGACAGCTTTCCCTGCAATGAACCTGGAGCCTGCCGGCCATGGTGTTTCAGTCTGGTGCCCGAGGAGAGGAGGGTCTGGGTCCCAGTGGTTGCTCTCCTCACCTTCCAGCCCCGGAGCCCTTGGGTGCGGAGCAGCCCCCGCCGCCGGCCTGGGAGGAGCCTCTTCTTGAGGCTCCGGATCGCCCGAGCATACAGCATGGCCCGGACCGCACACTCTGCCGCTGTTGGCTTTTGATCTGCTCCTGGCAAGGTGTGGCTCATCCGCTGCATTTCTGCCAGCTTCAGTTTGTAATATTTGTATTCCAGACTACTGTCATCAGACAAAAACCTACATAACAAAACAGGCACAGAAGGACATTGGTTAAAACAACACCACGTACCGAATTGTTGCTACGATCCCATTTCTCACACCCTTTCCAAGTGGCAGCCTCCCTGCCATCCGAGAGGCTCTGATCCATGGACCCCCCGGGTCCCCGTCCTGCCCACAGTAACTGCAGGGCAGTGGCAGCTCTGGTCCAGCACTGGTCAGTTCCTCCTTGGGTTTCGCCATCCCCAGCGGTGAAGGTGCTCACAACTCCTAGTAGCCTCGTAACATAATCACTGCCACAGAGACACTGCCACTCTGTCGCTTGTGGGTGCCGTTTTTGGGAGGTGACACCCTTCAAAGAGCCCAGTGAGGCGGAGTACTCAGAGACCCTGGCTTCAACTGCACCACCGAGGCCAGAGTGCCATGGCTGTGAAATCATGTGCCAGAGTCATAACGAGAACAGTACAGAGGCGCCTGGGTGGCTCAGTCGGTGGAGTGTCTGCCTTCAGCTCAGGTCATGATCCCGGGGCCCTAGGATTGAGCCCCGCATTGGGCTCCCTGCTCAGCGGGGAGCCTGCTTCTCCCCCTCCCTGCCGCTCCCCCTGCTTGTGCATGCTCTGTCAAACAAATAAATAAATAAAATCTTAAAAAAAGACCAAAAAAACAGTATAGGAAAGAGGAGGTTGAGTCCCGAGTGCCGACACAGAAAGACATCCACAATACAGCCAGAGAGGACAGCAAGCTACAGAAGAACACCAACACTGATGTGGACCACATGAATCTGCTTTGTGTACATAGATCCACGTGCATTCGCTTTTCTCAGAGTCGACATTGAAAGAATATAAAGCTAACTTAATTAGCCCTGGGGAATGGACAGTAAGGGGCATGGAGGGAACTCACACACTCTAGTCTGTTTTCCACTTCGTTAGCACCTTCTTTCAGCTCTATTAATCCTCCCCTTCTAGGGTCTGGACTTTTCTTGCCATTTCCTTCTGGCCTCATGTGGTGAATGCTTACATTCACTCCATTTCTGACAAACGTGTCCTGCGTTGCACTTTCCTCTATGTATGGCTGCAGCCGCATCCAGTGTGCAGGGCGCCCCCTGCTAGCTCCTTCTGAGAAGTTCCTAAAGTCAGTTCTCATTCCCCTTCACTCAAAAGTTACTTAGAAGCAAGTTTTATTTTGGCTGTTGTGCTAGTTTTGACTTTTATGCATCGTGGCAATCGTGTAATGTGGCCCATGTGGTTTTCCTTTCCTGGGATGTGCGGAGAGTCTCTCTGGGACCTCACACATAACAGGAGTTCGTGAATGTTCAATTTCAGTTTGTGTTCAAGAAGAAGGACTACTGTTTGGTGGGCAGGGCAGCATTTCAGGCGGCCTTCAGTCTGCCTGACGTTAAGAGGCCGCTTTCCTAGGTGCAGTTCCCGATCACCAGTGACAGGAGCCAGCTGGCTGCGTGAAGCAGGGTGCCGGCAGCACGGCGTACCGCAGGGGGCCCCTGGGGGGTAGCTCCGTGTGCAGCTCTCGATGCTGCCATCTGCGGTTAAGGTCCGGCTGGGTCTGAGGACACAGGCTGCACGCCGGCTCCGCTGCTGCCCCACGCACTCTGCCGGGCCAGCAGCAGCGTCCTGCACCCTAACGAGCAAGGGTTCCCACATAAAGGAACAGATGGTCTGGTTCTCCTGTGAAACGCAGCCCCAGCAAGGGTACCCCTCACCCAGGGCAGAAAGCGGAGTCAGCACCCAGGTGACCCAGAGCCCCAGGATACAAGCCCCTTTCCCCTGGAGAGTTCTGATGCGAAGTGCAGTCTGAGGATGTCAGTCTCCCCAAGTTCTAATGGAACACAACATTAAGAGCACAGAACATTCCCAAGCCAGCCTGCTGGGTTCAAATCCCAGCATGGCCACTTATTAGCCATGAGATTTACTGAACTTTTCTGTGCCTCAGTTCCTCTATCTGTAAGAGGGACAGACAGTAATAAATTACTTCATCATGTTGTTGTGAGGCTTGAGTTACACACTTTCCATTGTAAGAAAAATGCTTTAAATACTGTGTGGCATTCACTAACTGCTCAACAAACATTAGCACATCATCTTTACCTGTTTATGCCCATTCACTGTGTTCTAAATATTCTCTTATTTGGATGACATCTACCCATTTCAGAGAATTATATTCATGCCATGATATAGATCGATCAATTCCTCTTATATTTCTAAGTGTTGTTTATTTACACAGCTCTAAGCTACGTAGTTCAGGCATCAAGATTCCCAACTATTGGGGTGCCTGGCTGGCTCAGTTGGCTAAGCGTATGACTCGATTTCTGTTCAGGTCTTGATCTCAGGGTTGTGAGTTCGAGACCTGTGTTGGGCTCCATGATGACTGTGCCTGGTCAGTAGCCTACTCTGCCCCCTTTTATGCTTTTCTCTGTTTTGTCTGAAACGACTTTTACATACCTTTTTTTTTTTTGATAGCCTTTGCTTGGTATGTCATTTTCCATTTCTTCCCCCACTCTGTTTTATTTATCTCTGAGAGGAAGCAATAGTTGGTACTTTTAAACCCAAGTCCCTGGTAAAGGTGGCACCATTGTACTCGTTTCCTATTTGCCCTCCTTTTTTATTTTTTTTTCCCTTCCTTGCTTTTCATTGGGATGAATACATTTTCTTTTTGGCTTCACCCTCTATAGTAGTGTGGAAGTTATAAATCCCACTTCTATGTCTTTACTGGCTAATCAAATTAATATACACTTAAACTATTATTTTCTGTGTTCAGAACTAGTCACTAGCTATATCCTCACACTTTTTTTTTTGTCAGAGAGAGAGGGAGAGGGAGAGAGAGCACAAGCAGGGGGAGCGGCAGGCAGAGAGGGAGAAGCAGGCTCCCTGCTGAGCAAGAAGCCTGAATCGGAATTTGATCCCAGGACCCTAGGATCATGACCTGAGCCAAAGGCAGATACTTTAACTGACTGAGCCACGCAGGCGTCCCTATAGCCTCACTTTTAACAGGACAAGAACCTTAGTATCCATCTCTTTCCTGCTACTTACCACCTTACATTGTCTAGATTATCTGGGGTTTTAGGGTCCATGTCTGCCCCTCCACCCCAGCATCAATTATTTAGATCTTGTATTTGCTTTGAGGCCCTTGGACAATCCTGCTGGGGCCAGCCAAGAGGGATTCAAGCCCACATGCTTTCTCCTCAGTCTGTAAACATGTGGACATGGTGGGCTGTCCCTGTAGGGCATAGTCCAGCAAGGGTCAGGACCATCCCACTCTGAAGGGACAACTTAGAAGATGGGAAAAACAAAGTGACATATTCTTTCACTTCTACATCTTACATCCTTGGGACCATTCTATGGGCCTGCTGCTTTGCAATCTCTCTCATAGAGATTGGAGGAAGCTTTGCGAACGGGTGCTCCTGACAAGGAAGCAAAGCTGCAGTGGGTGTCTGCACTACTACTGTTATTTTAGGGCACCAGAAGGTGCAGGCCGCCTCAGTGAGCGGCAATGGCCAGTTCTGTCCACAAGGCCCGGCTGTGAACAAACCAGTGTTTGCTCCTCCTTGTAGGGAGGTAGAAGTCGCAAATCTCTGCTGTTCCTTGAAGGGCTGAGATAACGCAAAGCCTTCTTACGTGTTTCCTAAGGTCTGAACTTTTACTAACTAATAAAAAGAACCTAACACAGCACTGGAGCCTAGCAAGAAGGTGGTTTTCTGATGAGTGACTGAGAGGAGAGAGAGCTAAATCCTCACTTATCTTCATAGGATTTCAACAGTGATGGCTAAAACTGATAGATCAAGGAAGAGCAACACAGGCTTATCATCAAGAGATAATTTAGAAGTTTAAAATACCAAAAGAGACTGACTGCGAGGAGTAGAACTGGCATGGGAACTGGTCAAAGCGGAAACATTTTGCGTTTCTTAATTCAACTGATTTTTATAAACTACATACACGGACTCCTTTAAGAATTCTAATGTACACACCAAAGCCCTAACCTTACTAGCTTCTTATCATTCTTTCTTGGCACCACATCTTTTCCTCTGATAGTCTCTGGTAATTTCTTCTGAAGGAGTTTTCCAGGAGTCAAGTCTGAGTCCAGCTCCCTAATCTCTTCTTCATCTGGGTCTATTCTAGTCAACCGCTGGGATTTTTATTTCAACAATCAGACTTCATTTCCCAGATCTTTTTTTTTTTAATAAATGTTTTATTTATTTATTCATGAGAGTCAGAGAGGCAGAGGCAGAGGGAGAAGCAGGCTCCCTGCCTAGCAGGGAGCCCAATGCGGGACTCGATCCCAGGACCCTGGGATCATGACCTGAGCCGAAGGCAGACGCTTAACCATCTGAGCCACCCAGGCGCCCAATTTCCAAGATCTTTAACAGGTTCTTTTCCAAAAACAAAAAGCTCCTGTTTCATGGATACAATATACTATTATCCACCGAAGACTGTTAACCTCACACATATATTTTTACACTTTTTTTCTTATGTAACTCAGTCTTCTCCAGTGTCAGCTCTATTTGTTGAGTATGGTGACTTTCCTTCATGATGTTCATTTTTCTCAAATATTTGATTTCTAATTCAATGCTTATTTCTGATTTTGTACCCCACCTCCCATATGTACAACTCTGGTTATGGTTTTGTCTGTTACCACTGGCCATCAGTGATCATGAGCCTGGTTGGTCATGATGCAGAGGCACATGTCCCTCTTCTCGGGGTCCCCTTTCCCTCCAGCCCAATCACCTGGAAATTGCCCGAGCCTTTCAAGTCTGGAGAGTACTTTACCCAAGAGGGTTTGGTCTCTGCTTTCACCTGTCAATCTGAGGCTATCTAGCTTCCTTCCTTCAGCACGCACACAGATTGAGAGCAAGAACCTGGATGAGAATCTCAACTCTATCTTACTAGCTTTGCACTCTTTAGGTAAGAGGCCTCTTTGAGCCTCAAGTCTCCTATCTGTAAAATAAGGATGACAACATACCTGCCTCACAAGGTTTATGAGGATTCAGTCAGCTAGTGCTTAAATCAGAAAAGCGCCGACAATAGTACCAAGTGCAGAGAAAGCAAAAAGTGTTTGATAATAAAGTTTTCAATAAATTATGATGGAACAATTTGCTTATTGGGCTGTTTTTTTTTTTAACTTTTAAGTTATATGCCCACTCATTCTAAATATGAAAATAATACAAATGAGTCTGAGAATTCTGTAAAAATAAAACCATATAAGCTCCAACCCTTCCCCCTGGTAAATCACGCTGGTTAAGACCAAAACTCTAGTCCTGTTACGTGGCAATTTATGCCTTTCAAGCATTTTGTCAACTGGGACAGATAACCCACAGAAAGTAACCTGATGATAAAGAACGATGGCTTCCACCAGGGGCAACTCCTGCCCCCAGTGGCCAGCTTCTGGGATGGAGGATTCTACTGGCATCCAGTGTAAGGGGGAAGGCAAAGGATGCTAATAAATATCCTGCAAAGCACAGGACAGTCCCCACCAGAGGATTATCCAGTCTCAAAGGTCAATCATGCTGCAGCTGAGAAAAAGCGACAGAGATCAAAGGCCTGTAAAGTTAATTTTCTTCTTAACCCAGCAATTTCACTCCCAGATACTACCCTAATAAATGCCAGAAATGTAGACAGAAATAAACAGAAAACATTGTTCATCATAATGGTATTTACAGTAGGGAAAAACTGGAAAGAATCTAAGAACTCATCAATGGGCAATGGTTGAGTATGCTAGGGTACCTGTGTACAAAGGAAGAGCATGTACCCACTGCTAAAGGGACAGTGATGTTAGGTTTGAAACCTAGGACACACTGAGAGGGAGAACTGGTGGAGCTCTGACAGTATCTTTACCTTATTACTTTTTTCTATTTTTACAAAGAACATATGCCACTTTTATGATTTAAAAAAAAGTCAGGGGCACCTGGGTGGCTCAGCTGGTTGAGCATCTGACTCTTCGTTTTGGCTCAGGTCATGATCTCGGGGTCCTGGGATCGAGCCCTGCATTGGGCTCTGCGCTCAGTGCGGAGTCTGCTGGAAATTGTCTCCCTCTCCCTCTGTTCCTCCCCTGCTCACATGCTCTCTCTCTCTCAAATAAATAATAAAATCTTTAAAAATAAATAAATAAATCTTTAAAAAAAGTTAAAGTATGAACATTTTCCACTTGCAGCAAACCTAAACACACAAGAAAATAGGCTGCACTAAGCCATTCGCTGAAGCAGTTTGAAACAGTATACAATCAAAATCATTCTGAAAGTCTAACCAGAGAGGGATGGCTAACTAAACTCTGGCCACCTCCTCTATGGACTAATAAATGCAGCTGTCTGAAAATGTTTATGAAAGATAAAGAATACGAGCATTTTCTGGTGTTATCTAAAATGAGCAGAAAAAATAAATACATAAACCCCAAAAGAGCAGGATATATTATATCATAGTAAAATCACAGCTATATTAAACAAAAACCCAAATAGCCCTCAGTGGGCAGAGAGACTGGAAGCAAACAGGCAAAACTGGCAGTAGATGTCGGTGGGCATACAAGGGGCTTCACCCTTGTTCTCAACTTCCTCTAATAAACAAGTACTGCATTTATGCTGAAAACTTTAATTTTAAAAACTTGCTCCATTCGTGTGAAGAGGCAGTAAGGCAAAAGGAGAAGAGAGTTGAACAAACAGTAGCAGTAAGTCACGAACAACTGCTGTGACCCATCCCTTATCTTCACGTGCTCTCTGCATGCACCTCTCACCTCATCCTTAAGCCAGCACAGAGGCACGAGGGGCTCCTGGACCGGACAAGAGAAGGCCACATGGCAGGGTGGCAGCAGGGCTGGGAATTGAATGTCAGTGAACCCAACCCTCTCTCATGCTGTTCCCATTGGCTAACACCACTCCTCAAAATTAATACCTCACCCTCTGTGTTGGACACCATCAAGACACAAATTTTGCCGTGTGTTCTATGGGAGGGATTCGGAGGGCCAACATTTAAAGACCTACCAGTAAGCAGGGTCCTCCTTGAGAAGAGCTCTCTCTTTGGGAGATAGGCTGCCTCCAACAACACGAGTGACCAGCTGGTCGATTGTGTCCACCACCTTGTGATCCGCTCGCTGGGGGACTGCTGGAACACACAAGAGGGCTTTTCTGAGAAACACACTGGACCACATGGGGCTGGGATGACCAGGACGGAGTCAGAGGCTTAGGATGGAACCTAAGCAGGCACCAGTGACCAAAATCCTCATTCAAGAGAAATCAGCATTGAAAAGAGGAGAGCAGCATGGTATCCTAAAAACCAATACCCCAAATATCATCCCAAAAGACAGAACAGCATAACCACTAGAAGAGAAAGTCACAAGCTTATAGTGACTGTACAGAACAATATATGCATATATTCTACAGAAGGAAATGATATGTAGCAACTCTATTCTGCTTGTCAGGTATTGCTTAACTGGAATGTTCATATTAAGTGAAAAACATATAAAGATATAAAATGTAACTCAGTAGGGCGCCTGGGTGGCTCAGTCATTAAGCGTCTGCCTTCGGCTCAGGTCATGATCCCAGCGTCCTGGGATCGAGCCCCACATGGGGCTCCCTGCTCTGCGGGAAGCCTGCTTCTCCCTCTCCCACTCCCCCTGCTTGTGTTCCCTCTCTCGCTGTGTCTCTCTCTGTCAAATAAAGAAATAAAATCTTTAAAAAAAAAAAAGGTAACTCAGTATAAAATACATAAAAAAAAAATCTAGATTATGATTCCCAATATGAAGGAGCGAAAAAAAGATACACAAATACGGACACGTGGAGAAAAAAAGAAGGAAATATGTCAGAATGTTAATAGATATTATCTACGGGTAGATTTACCAGAGACTTCATTTTCTTTGTGCTTTATCTATAAAAAATAAATATGCATGTGTTTTATAATCAGAAAACATACATAGAGATTTGCAAAGAAAAATTCCCTAATCAAAAAAGTCAGTGGCCCTAGGATAGGTGTTCACAGAAAATATTTGCTGAATACATGAAAAGAAAAACATTTCTTGGGCGCCTGGGTGGCTCAGTTGGTTAAGCGACTGCCTTCGGCTCGGGTCATGATCCTGGAGTCCCTGGATCGAGTCCCGCATTGGGCTCCCTGCTCGGCAGGGAGCCTGCTTCTGCCTCTGACCCTCCCCCCTCTCATGTGCTCTCTCTCTCTCATTCAGTCTCAAATAAATAAATAAATAAACAAACAAACAAACAAACATTTCTTAAAGTGTAAATTTCCTTCAATATGAAGTGTGTGTTTTTTGTTTTTGTTTTTAAGTAGGGTCCAGGCCCAGTGTGGAGCCCAACAGGGGGCTTGAACTCAGGACCCTGAGATCAAGACCTGAGGCTGAGATCAAAAGTCTGATGTTTGAATGAGCCACCCAGGTGCGCCCCTCCTTAATGAGTTTCAATTTACAACGCCACTGGCAACACAGAAGAGCAGCTGGCCCTCAATTAATAAGACTGTTTAGTTTTCTGATATTTGCTAGTTTTAATTGCACAGAATGGTCTGTTTATTTAGTCATTCGATAAAAACCACTCCTGAACTGGAGAGGTCTTCCAGTTTGTTCTGTGGAGTAACTGCACTGTCCAGTCCTTGCTTATGTCTCAGTTGCAGCTTTAAACTTATTTTATTATTTTTTTTAAAGATTTTATTTATTTATTTGACAGAGAGAGACACAGCGAGAGAGGGAACACAAGCAGGGGGAGTGGGAGAGGGAGAAGCAGGCTTCCTGCAGAGCAGGGAGCCCGATGCGGGGCTCGATCCCAGGACCCTGGGATCATGACCTGAGCCGAAGGCAGACGCTTAACGACCGAGCCACCCAGGCGCCCCTTTTTAAACTTATTTTAAACCTTCAGTGTGAGCTCTTTACACCGGCTAAATGCATTCTTCAATTGTCATGCTACTGCAATTATTTCCCCTTTGAAATTCCTTTCCTTTTTTTTTTTTTTTTGTTATTGGCTCTCATCCTACAGAATTGCTGGTTTTACACAATGCTACCAAAGAATAAAAGGTTCAGAGTTGGAAGCTTTGAAAAACAACGTAATTTGTGGGTCACTGCAACCATCTCTCGAGAAGGTAACCATAAGCAAGCGTCCCAGCTTTGGCCCCACAATCCTCTTCCCCTGACCATATTCTATAGGGGGGAACTAAAAAATAAAAAATAACAATAGTGGTAACCAAAACATTCAACTGAAGATGTCATCTCCGCATTTCTGACAGTAATGCGAGCACTGGCGGGACATACCCCATGAGACACGGGCGCTCCTGCCATCTACCTGCTGTCCAGACAGCCCAGGCTTGCAGACGTCAATTACAAGGGAACCCAGCTCTGCTCAGCCTCAGAGGCCTCTAGTAAAAGGCAGCACAGTCCCACATGCAGGGAAGGGTGAGGTAATTTACGTTAGGTCAGTATCATGATGCAGCAAATGCTGCTGAAACACAGAAAAAGGCCTTTGATGATCCTATAAAAGAATAGACTGTAGTGTTTTCAGCACAGCAATACTGGTGCTATGGGTGCACCCGCATAGCAACCAAACCAGAAAATAGTGGTGGGCAACTTTAGGTTATGGGTGTTTTTCTCCTCCTTCAAACAAAGTGCTTCAGTATCATCATGACACTGACTTTCCACTCCACTATGAGGGGTGTGGGGAGGAGGGGTCCTGCTTCAGCCCTGAGCCCACTTCTGAAGGCTCCCTCTCCAGGAGTAGCTGTGGCTGCCCATCCATGGTGGGACCTACCCAGTGCCTGATGTAATCAGGGCTGCATAAGGGCGTAGAGGAGTAAAGAGATTCAAGGACAAACAAGGCTTTCCCACTTGGCTGGGGCAATGGAAGCTGAAACCTGCCTTCTGGGGAAAGGGACTTCCTCCTGAGGTAAACGGGGGGTAAGTGCTTCATCGTGAGTCACATGGGCACCACATATGCTCATGACCTCTGGGATGTCTGGGCTAGGACATGACCTCTAGGATGTCTGGGTGCTAAGAGGGAGAGAGGACACCAAACAGCCAAATGTTTATAATACTTCTGTTGTTGTTGTTTTTTTCTTAGTATTACCTCTTTCTTGGCCTTTCTGGAACCTCCCCAAAGCGGACTCCTTAACTGCAGGTTACCAGATGTACCTAATTGATCTATCGACTTTTAGCTGTTCTAGAAAAGTGAGTGGGTAGAAAGGTGCTTCTACTACCTGGGCTGACGCGGCTAATCTCTGCTGGTCCCTCAACACAGCTCAAACATGGCCTCCCCAACTCCCCTGGGCTAGGGTCTCTTCCATCCCCCTAATCCTGGCACGGGAGGAGCTGGGTTTTGAGACTTCTGTCGCTTAGGAGCCTGGGGACTCCCCAGAGACAGTGCCCAGTGTTTACTTTCCCCTCTACTAATACCTTAGGGTGGGGGGAGGGAGATGCTGTAACAAGGGCTTCTTAACCTTGGCTGCAGGATGGTACAAACCCCCCAGAAAGCACAGGCAGAATTGTGTACAAATATGTGTGCATTTTTCCTGGCAAGGGCCACAGCTTTTGATCAGATTCCCAAAGGAATCTGTGACCCAGAAATGTCTAAGGACTTCTGTGGTAGACAGAAGATTCCTAATATACGCTTTCAGAATGAATAGCAGACATGCACCCTGGCCAATATGAGTTTTCTACTAAAACTGTTCCCAGTTGGCTAAAAAACTATTGTGCAAAAATCTCAAAGAAAATAAGAAACATTACAAGAAAACATGAAAAACAAACTAATCACAATAAATAGGAACTTTCAGTGCTTTCCTTACCATCACTCAGACCACTCGGAGCCTTGGCCTGAATTTCCAGTTTGGTAGGAGGAACCATTTTCTCCTCCTCTTGGGTTGGCTCAGGTTCAGCTTTCTTGACCTGGAGCGGACACCCACTGCTGACCAGCCAGGCCTTCAGGTGATCGATGTATTCTCTCCCAAACAGAGTAGAGTCTTCGAAATTTGGAAATGCAGCAGGAGAAGGAGCTATATCTTGGAGGCCCACGGCTTCTAAGATTTTCTCCTGCCGGAAAGAAGACGCCAAGGAGAACGTCTGTCCCAAAAGGGCTAAAGATTTCCGGCAGAGAGAATTGGTGGTCTCCAGGGCAATAGCCAAGTCCAGGGGGTTACTGAGGGTCTTCATCTTGACACTCAGCTCATAGGCATTGCACGCCATGAGCAGGGGTGTTACACTCTTCAGGAGCCGGTCTTGAAGCCTCATTATGTACTTGTCAAAGGGCTTTATGATTTCAAAAAAGCAATTTTTGGTCTTCACAGCACCTTTGTCTAAAAGCATGTTTAAAAACTCGTTATCAACTCTGGGTGTTTTCAAAGCAGAGTGCTTTAAAAATTTGATAGTAAAAAAGCAAAAATCTCTGTGCTCTGGTTTTAAGGAACATTTGAACGAAGCGAGCATTTTAGCACAGGTTTCGGTTTCGAGTTCAAAGAGAGTCTGGAAAAGCTGGGAAAATTTAACATCATCTTTTATGGTATGGAATCCTGCCCATTTGATTATTTCTATCCCAAATCTTGAAAAAACGTCAGACTTATCTATGAGGTCAAAGCTCATCTTTCTTCTGGGGAGCCGAATATCCTTCAAATTGAGCCCCAAAGGGATCTGAGTGGGAAACTGGATATCTTCTGTCCCTGGGTTTGTCCCCAGGGTCACATCAGGACTTGAGGTGGTTTTCTGGATTTGGTTGGTGCCCTGAGTTTTGGGAGTAATACGATTTACAGTGGGTACTTTCTTTGTGCTCACACTTCTTAGTGTGACAAGTTTCCCGACTCCCCCTTTAGTTGGGAGTAGGCCCTGAGTCTCTCCCTTCCCTAAAAGGGCCCCTTCCTGGTCAACGATGTTTAGACCTCGGCCTCTGCCCTGGACTTGGGCACTGCCCCTGAGCACAGAGTCTGCCTCCCCTGGACGGTCCACGTCGTAATCCCGACTCTCTTTCTCCAAACACTCTTTCTCAATCAGCCTGGAGGAACCAAAGTCCCCCAGTAGTGCAGAAGGACCAAAATTATACTCCTGTGACCAAGGGGATTCTTGAGAAATGGAGTGGGCAAAGTCTTGTTCCCAAGAGCCACGGAGTGCAAATTTCCAGTCCTGAGAACGGAAATGTCCCAATTTCCGGTGGCCAAAAACCTGGTCTCGGGAATCAGGGTGGGAAAATTCCAAATCCCGGCCACACTCTTTGCGAAAGTAGTTGTCTTCACTTACAGAAGGATTGCTTGATCTGAAGGAAGGTCCTGGAAATACATCACCTCTCAGGCTTTCTCTTCCAGTGTCTCGAGGGTGGGCTACAGATCCAGCCAGAGTATATCTGCTGTCACTAGGAATGTCATCATACATATCTGCTCTGGCTCTTGGGACTGTCCTTAGAAGATCTGAAATAGATGATCCAAAGAGGAACAAAAAGGTAATTTAGACCAGAGGTTGCAAAAAGACAGTCCACACACCACCAGCCAGCAGGGGTCCTTTATTTGCCAGAATGCATTTAAAAAATTTGTGTTTGTTTCTAACATTTAAAATGTGTGTGGCTTTACTTAAAAATCTGGATTTACAAATTCTAAAAACAGAATACCTACAAGCACTGGGCCTGCATGTGCCTGGATGACAGTGCACAGAGGCTGGGCAGTGGTGCTCCTAATTCACTTGGCCTTCTTGTCCTGGCTCTGCAGGCATCTGTTTTATAAGCCCTCTTTTTGACTCAGGAAAGGGTGTCTGGTCCCCAAATAACCTGGGCTTCTTCACTACAACTGGAACACTTGTACATTTCTACTTCTAGCACACAGTAGACAGTTTCTCTGGAGGCTGCCTGCCCTCCCTCCCTCGGAGGAGAAAGTGTTAGGTCACAGTGCCACTGAGGCAGGAGCCATGTCGGACACTACACCCACCACAGCCAACCACAGCTGAGCATCTGACCCAAAGGTGGCAGACAGGCTCCCTGCAAAGGTCCACTGGGCCAACCAATCCTCTGAAAAAACAGAGACTAAAACAGATAAGAGAGAACACAGAAGCTAAACAAGCCGCAGCAAGAGAGGCCACAGTGAAAATTGAACAGTAGTAGAAATGAGAAAATAGAAATGAGAAAAATAGGAACCTGAATTTGCATTTGCTTATTCACACATAAAGAAACTCTGTAAGAAACCAGGAACATGGGAACAGCAGGCCTCAGGGAGACTTTGCAGAGTAGCTTTCTAACTTTCTAGCTTATGAATCAAAATATTACCTAGTCAAGACGTCAAATAAAAGGGAGAGAGATGCCAGGGAGTAGTAATGGGCGAAGAGACCACAAGAAGCTAAAGCTTTATATAAACCCAAATTTATTTGTTCAACAAGTACTTGCTGAGCAACTACTGTGTGTGGGCACTGCTCTAGGCAATGGAGTTATATAGCAGGGAAAGGAGACAACAAAATCCCTACTCCCCTGGATTTATCAGTTGAGGGAGCCAAACAATAAACAAAAATCCATCACATGTACAAAAGTGCCAATAAGAAATATCAAGCAGGCAAGAACATGAAGAGGGAGAGACGTTTTCAGACAGGCTGGCCAAGGAAAGCTGCTCTGACAACAATGTATTTGTGCAGAGAGGCCTGGTGTCGGGGGCCAGACTGCGCAGTTATGGGGGAAGGCTTCCAGGCAGAGGGAGCATCAGGACAAAGCCCTGAGGTAAGACTAGCAGGGAACAAGTGTAGCCAGAATGGAAGAGAGTAACAGTGGCAAAGTGGTAAGAAGGTGGCTCCTAAACTCTACTGCACACTGGAGTCCTTGGGGATCCCCAGGCATTCTGATTTAGTTAATTGGGATGGGGTGTGGCCTGGGCATTAGGGTTTTTAAAGGGTCCCCAGGGGGCTGTCTAGGTGGCTCAGTCGGCTGAGTGTCAGACTCTTGATTTTGGTTCATGATCTTAGGTTCATGAGACTGAACTCCACGTTGGGCTCCACGCTCATTGTGGATTCTGCTTGTCCCTCCCCTTCCCCCTCTGACCCTCCCCATACACATGAGCGTGCTCTCTAGCTTGCGCGCGTTCTCCCTCTCTCTCTCATAATAAATAAAAAAAAAAAAAAAAAAAAAAAAATCTTAAAGGGTCCCCAGATGATTCTAACAAGCAGCAAAGTTAAGGAACCACTATGCTAGAGGATGTGAACAGAATGGGGGTAACAGATCAAGTCAGGCCCTCAATGGGACTCTATAGTTTACTCTGAACAAGATGGAAAGCCATGAAGGGGTTCAGAGCAAAGGGGCGACCGCACAGGCTAGTGCAGGGAATTGACCACCAGGTACAAGAGTGGATATGGATGTTCCAGCAAAAAGTCCACTGGGATAATCCAGGTATTGATGGCTATTGCTGGCACGGTTAGGGCAGTAGCATTAGGAAGAGTGGTGGATGGAGTCTGCACAACGGGATTTTCAGATGCCTTGTAAAGCAATACAGACTAGAACAGACACAGTGAAAGGCCAATCGATGGACCTAGCTCTGTGACAAAGTGGTGGTTCCAGAACCATCTAGCATCCTGCTGGTTTCCTAGTACAGCTCCTACCCCCCATCTTTCTTGAGGAGACTAAGATACATATTGACATTTGAGTTTCTACATAAAAATAAACCAAGATTTAAATCTCCAGATATATATGTGTGTGTGTGTGTGTGTATATATATATACGCATAAACATATACACATAAATGTGTGTATACAAATATATCAATACGTAAGTATTTAGGATTACATAAACATATCATAGAAGAACTGAAGGATTCACAAAACACCACAGATATGATTACCTCTGAGGAGTAAGAAAGCACCTAAAGACTTTTACATTATACTCCTAACTACTGTTTTGTTTTGTTTTGTTTTTATTTATTTGCCAGAGTGCACGTGTGTGCACACAAGCAGGGGGAGCAGCAGGAGAAGCAGGCTCGCCGCTGAGCAGAGCCTGATGTGGGATCCCAGGACCCTGGGATCATGAACTGAGCTGAATGAAGGCAGATGCTTAACTGACTGAGCCACTCAGGTGCCCCATACTCCTAACTACTTCTTAATTCTTCTAATCCCTTATAATGGGAAGGTTTTTGTGTAAAAATACTCAAGCATTTTTAAAAATTCAGAATCTGAAGACAGCTTCTAGGCTTTGGTTTCTCCACATCCAAAGTACACAAGTTATCCCTGCCCCAAGCACTTAGACTCACTCAGTCAACACTGAGGAAGTTTCCTCAGTGGAAACTGGCTCAGGGGCTGGTGCAGGGAGCAGCACAGGCCCAAAAGAAGCCTGGAGGAGGCTGGCCCACCTCAAAAAAGGGAGTGCTCAGGGGCCTGGAAGAGCAATCAAATCAACCTCAAAGCCTGCAGGAGCTTCCTGGAGGAAGGCATGTGCAAGCTGGGTCTTAGTGCCCGAAAGACTTAACCAGGCTAGGCTGGGCTGGGCTGGGGAGGGATTCAAAGCACAAACAGGCAGCACAGTGTCACTGAAACATGAGCCCCAAAGGCAGGACATGAAGGCTGGGAGCCTTATGTGGCACGGTGAGGGACCTCCCTGTCATCCTGCAAACAGTGTGTGCACCATTTTTGATTCTGCCGGCGTGACATTTCAAAACTTTCCAAGGGGAATGTTTTCAGGCAAGGCCTACACCTGGCAACCTCCCATGCCCTCGTCTTGTACACATCACTATTAATTATTACCAGGTTGCTCCTGCACTTGTCTGAGGATATAACCCCGAAATGGGGAGCCTCAAGAGTCCAAGTAGGGCCTTGACCCAGCAAGGGAGGCATTAATAGATCTGTTGGGGACGCCCATTTGAGGGGAATGGAGCCAGAAGCTGAGAGACCGTTCAGGAGATTACTGCCATAATCCAGGCGAGAACTAGTAAAAGCTCAAATCTGGGAAGGGGTGGTGGGGATGGAGCCAGGAGATTGATTCAAGAACGCTTCTTTAGGTGGGGGAGGATGCCTGGGGCAGAGAAGCTTCAGATAATTACAATATCCCCTTCTGCATAATGATTTGACAGGAAGACCAAGAGATAACTTTATCTCTCCTTAACAAATAAGGAAGGTAGGATCCGAGGAGTTGAATAGTTTGCCCAAGGCATTGATATCCTCCAGCCCTTACTCTAAAAGAATGCCCAACAGCTACCCTCCCCCCAAAGAAACCAAGCGCTTTAATTCACCTTGAGCTTTAAACTGAAGAGCTTCACCTACGGCCTCACCACTGGGGTCCATGTGATATCGGTTAGCTTTTTCTTGCAATACAGCATCAAAAGTCTCCTGTGCAATTCGCCTAGCTGCCATGTTTGTCTGACCTGTAGTGAGAGGGGAAAAAAAGACACTAAGAACGACAACTAACGCTCACACAGCCTGCTCAATTTCACCTAATCCTCAACGTGATGAGACAGTAATCTATAATTCAACATGGTGCTTCAGAGGGAGGCCGCATTATTTTAAGGGGGCTTCTGCCCTCACGGAGCTCACAGGTGTGTTGGTTAGAAGGAGCACAGCAAGCACTGTGATCTTAGACAATCTATATTGCTTCTCTGAGCCCATTTCCTCAGAATCCCTATCTGTTGGGGTTTACTGGAGAACTGCAATGAAGCAACACACACAACTGAATGTAACAGCGTGGAGGGGAGGAGCATAACCCTCGCAAATGGTGGTTAGGAGAGATGCGATCTTTCCCATTTCTATTTTCCTATTTCACAGACTCGCAAAGAGGCTCTGAGAACTGACCTGCCCTCTGAGAACAGCCTCTCAACAAGTGAGCGTTGGAATCCCTGGCCAGTGACAGAGCTCGCTCTGTACCAGGTCCTCTTGTAGGAAAGGGACTCTCACAATCTCGTTTACTTCTTCTAACAACCCAGTGAAAAACGCGTTCTGTTATGAATGACATTATACAGAAGAAGAGAAAGACTCAGGCTAAGTGACCCACCCAAGGTCAGAGAGCCCAGACCGGAACCTGGAAAACAGGGCACTGGTAGTGGGGACAAAGCCCTGAAGACTGACTAGGAAACGACTGAAAGCAACGCTAAGGAACCCAGTGGCTGCGTCCTTAACCAAAATATCCCTTCCATCTTGAAACCTTCAACCTCAAGACCCAAACCTGCCCTTCCCTTCGAGCCATTTCTTATAACCATCACCCCTTTTTCTCATTCTTAAGCCCTTTTCCTGGGGCGCCCCTTGTTCTCCGCTATCGAAGGGCAGGGTCTCCCCGTCAGGCGGCTCCGGATCAAATCGAGTGACCTAACCTTTTTGCGTCTCCGTTTCCCCATCCATTGAACGGGCAGCTAATAGCGGGGGCTGCTGTGGGGACTGAACCAGGTAAAAAATGGTCAAGAGCCCAATACAGCGGTTGGCCGCAGTAATCCCCCTACGAACGGAGCCGCTCCGGGCTCGGGTGGAATGAATGAACGAATGGACCCTTTCGGGCGTGGCCCGCCTCCTACCCGCCTCCGAGAACGAAGACAAGGGGGCGTCGGGCCTGGGAGGCCGAAGACCGCCCCCCAGGCCGACCAGGCGGGGACGCGGCCGACGCACAGCCCGAGGGCCGAGCTCGCGGCGTCATCGCGGGGACCCGGGGCCCCCGGAGCGGAACCCGAGCTTCCCACCTGGGGCCCGCCCACAGACGACGCCCGGGCCCAGGCCTCACCCCGAACCCACCGCGCGCGGAGCCGCCCCCGCCGCCGCCTCAGGCTCCTCACCCGCCGCCGCCGCCGCCGCCGCCGCCGCGCGAGGCGGGGCCATGCAAATGAGCCAACGGTCTCCGCAGCGCCGCGCCGCGCAGGCGCAAGCTGCCGCCGAGCCCTGGTGCGCAGGCGCAGGCGGCCGCCGCCAAGTCCTCTTGCGCAGGCGCGTTGCTCGCTTCTCAGGGCAGACGCTCCCGAGGCGAAAGATTAATTTATTGAGGGCGGCGGAAACGGGGAGCGGCCGGAAAAAGGCGGCAAAGACGCCGCCTCTGCACACCTGTTGGCTCTCTCGGCTTTACCTGCGCTCGCGGTCACTCTTGATCACTCCGGGAGCGGTCCGTGGAGCTGAGGGAGGCCGAGGCGAGTTGGCGCCAGCGCACCTGCGCCCGTACGGTGGCCGGAAGGGACCAGAGGTGGTTCTGCCGGTGACAGTCGCGAGCCCCACCCTTTCCCCACGAGGCTGCGAAAACCGGGTGAGAAGCGGCGGCCGCGGAGTTCCCTCGCGCGGGGAGGGGAGTGGGCGCCGCGGGGTCGGGCTGGTGACTGTGGCGCCGCCCTCGGGGATTTGGTTTTGGGGAATGACTCTTACAGAAGCTGCCAGGGGACAAAATCCCCCATTTCCCTGGCCTCGGCTTTCTTTTCATTCATTTATTCATCCATTCATAACCTATGTACTGAGTGCCTGCTGCATATCTGGTTGCATCCTGGGCAGGGGGGAAGGTGGTGAACAAAGTTGACTGAGCCCCAGTTCTTGTGGAGGTTAAACTTAATTGGGGAGGAGGCTAGACAGTAAAAGGAGGTAAAATAGATGAACATGTCGCTCCAGGTAGATATAGTATTCAAAAAGGATTATGCGAAAGGAGGGGGGTCTGCTTTAACCATATGGTTATTAAGAGCATCCCTTGGGTGGCTGGGAAGGATGAGAAAGAGGTGGGAAAGCTCTGCTGAGAAGGTCTAGGTAAGAGACCTAGGTGAGGTCCACGTAGAAAAAGTGCTGGTAAGTAGACTGGATTTTGTTGAGAGGGTTGGGACGCCAGTGCAGGATTTTGAGCAGTGAGGTCTCTGTGATTTCGAGTTTCTCCCTGCCTGCTGAGTGGAGAATAGAGGTACAGTGTGTGGCAGGGAGGAAGCCACCTATAGGGAGGATTGTGCCTGAACCAGGGTGGGTGTGTCGGGTGGAGGAAGATGAGTCATTGGAGTCCCTGCCATGTCAGGGCACCGTTTTCTTGGTGAGTGGAACCCTGGCTTAGAAAGGGAAACCAGCTGTCATTTGGGGTCTTGCTAACTCCCTTTCTTTCCTCCAGCACACCTTCGACCCATCATGGGGACTGGTAATGCTGTTTTCCCCCTTTCCTAGCCTGGACTGTTCCCAGGTGGCTCCCAGATGACCATTCCTAGGCACCGTCCTTCTCATGAACTCCAGATATGTACTTTCATTCTGTCACCTAGCCCTATGCCCAACCTAAGGCCCAGCTTGCCTTAGAGGTAGTCCCAGAGCCGGACATTGATCTCCCGAGCTCAGGACTGGGCAGGGGGAGCCAAGGCCAGAGAGCGCATACAGGTTCTAAGTGGTCAGGGAAGGCACCCAGGAGGAGGTGGCCTGGAAGAGCTAGCAGGAACTCTACAGAGAACCCAGGTGGAGGGCAAGTGTTAATGAAGTAAAGTGGCATGATGACCAGGCCTCTTACTGCTTGTGTGATCTCTGACAGGTTCTTCCCCTCTCTGAGCTTCAGATTTCCCATCCGTAAAATAGGTATAATTGACATTCGCCTTTAGGACTGGGCCTCTGTGACAGGGTGGCCACTCACTGTTGACCCACTCAGATCTGAAGCATGGTCAGGGTGGTGGGAGCATCATTTGGTAGCAGGGTCAGGAACAGAGTCCCTCCGACAGTCCCAGCTGGGAAGTTCCTGCCCCTCAGAACTGGTCAGAAACACCTGCACACACATACCAGCCTGGGTGCCTCACTGAGAAGCTCTTAATTGACACAGAAAATCCTTACTCTTTTCCTTCACCTTTGACCATGGAAATCCTTAGCAACCCCTAAATGGATCCTTGTTGTTCTGGGGCAGAAAGAATTAGGGGAGCTACCTGCAAGGGAGCAAGGTATGGTGTTTGATGCCCTTATGCCTCTCCCCCAAATTGAACTGGTTGAATTACCTCTAAGCAACAAAAGGAACAATAGCTAATGTTTATTGAGCTCTTACTCTGTGCCAAATCCTATTTAAGCACTTTATAGGGATTAACTGGTTGAATTTTCACGACAGCCCTATGAGGTAGATTCTCTTTGTTTATCCCCATGTCACACAAGAGAGAGTTGACCAACAGGTTAAGTGGAGGGCCTGGGATTCAAGTCCCCCCTGCTGGCCCCAGAGCCTGTCCTCCTCCCTGAAAACATCTGCACAAACACAGATGGAATATTCACATCCTGTGCCACCTTCAGAAACAGAAGCGCAGGCTTGAGTGGCCTGTTGCCCATACAGCCCAAATTTGCCTTCGGATTTTTGCCACATTCCCCTCCCGCTGTCCTAGTACTCCCTGTGCCTTTGTTCCCCTAACATTTTCTGTGATGCACGATTCTATAACAGACCTGGGACCAGGAAAAATAATTGTTTTCAAAGACAGCATTAGGACAATGGAGAAAGTTGGTCATGGAGTGTATATTAGAAAATAGTAATGTATCATTGTTAAATTTCCTGTGTTAAATTTTAGTTGCACATTGGATGTGTGAGAATGTCCTTCGGAGATTCATGTTGACGTCTTTAGGAGGGAAGGATCTGATTCCTGGAGCATACTCTCACATGACGTGTGTGCAGGAACACATACTCTCACAGAGATTAACCTGGCAAAATGTTAACAACTGGCAAAGTTAGAAGGAAATAGGTGTTCTTTGTACTATTCCGAAACTTTATTATAAATTTAGAAAGTGATGTATTTTAATGGAAACGAAAAAGTATTACCGCAATAAACAAAATAGATATAATAAAAGAAGCAAAATGAAAATAGTTGTTAACCCCTGTTAGGCTCTGGGCCTGAGGCCTGTTTCCCTCTTCGTTAAAAAGAGAGAGTGGTACGGTTGCCGGGGGGGCTCAGTCGGTTAAGCAGCTGACTCTTGATTTCTGCTCAGGTCTTGATCTCAGGGTCGTGGGTTCAAGCCCCACGTTGGGCTCCACTCTGGGCATGGAGACTATTTAAAATAAAAATAAATAAATAAAATAAAAATAAATAAAAATAAATAAAAAGTACACGTTCAGTGCCTCAGTCACACTAGCTATATTTCAACTGCTAAAACCCACGTAGATGGCACAGATAGAGAATATTCCATCATCACAGAAAGTTCTATTGGATGCATGGTCAGATTGGGTTTGAGTTTTTGGGAAGATGATTTCACAGGTGCATTTCACTCTTGTCTGGAGGCAGGTGGTGTTGGCTTTCTATTCTGGTGATGTGAAATCACGCAGTGGACGAGGGTACTGTCCCCTCATTGTCAGGTTCCCCATCAGTTTTGCTCCTTACGGTTTTGCAGCCTGTGGGGATTGTCATCTAAATCTGCCCAGTTATGGATAATCAGTTGGAATTCATCTACAAAACAGAACTTTTCCTCTTCCCCTCTTTATAATCTGGTAATTATGTGAGGGAAGTAGAATGAATGCTGTATTCTTTATTTGCCAGTTTTCAGCAAAATGAGCAGGGTGTGTTTTAGTACTATTATGAACGCATAGATTTTGTTATTTATTGTGTTTTGTTTGGTTTTGTTGTTTTGTTTTAGTGCTCATCTGTCACTTGGGCCCATGGGCGTCTCTTAGGGTCTGCTCCAAGTCCTTTGACTTAACCCTGATGGTTTTTAGAAGCTTCCTTGCTTTCTGGTCTGAGCAGATGCTCCTGGCTCAGCTTCTCTGGCCTGTTTTCTTCTCAGTTGTAGAATCAGCCATTCCTCCAGGAGTCCTCTCTTCTTTGTTGGGAAAATGATACTTAGAGGCCATTGGTGGTGTTCGGGGTGTTCACTACTGCTGTGGTGTTATTTCCTCTAGGCATTTTCAGCTGATAGCATTAGAAAAATTGGTTCTTGGGGCGCCTGGGTGGCACAGTCGTTAAGCGTCTGCCTTCGGCTCAGGTCATGATCCCGGGGTCCTGGGATCGAGCCCCGCATCGGGCTCCCTGCTCTGCGGGAGGCCTGCCTCTCCCTCTCCCATTCCCCCTGCTTGTGTTCCCTCTCTCGCTGTGTCTCTCTCTGTCAAATAAATAAATAAAATCTTTAAAAAAAAAAGAAAAGAAAAATTGGTTCTTTGTTTGACTAAGAAAAAATCCATCCATGAGTTTGTACGGATAATTCCAGTTCAAATTTAGTTCTGAGTTTTTACTTTTTGGATTTTTTTGTGTGTATTAGAATCTTTTTTTCTTTTGTGCTAGTTCCTAATGAGATAAACAATATTACTTATTTGCTATATCCACAGTGGCTTCCAAATAATATTACTATTATCATTTCCAATAACATGATTACTAAAAACTGTTGAAGATTTTCTTTTACAGTTCTTTCTATTCTTATTGTACATCCCAGTAGGAATATATGGTTCTATCACTGTATTTTATTTTATTTTATTTTTTAAAGATTTTATTTATTTATTTGACAGAGAGAGACAGCGACAGCAGGAACACAAGCAGGGGGAGTGGGAGAGGGAGAAGCAGGCTTCCCGCTGAGCAGGGAGCCCGATGCAGGGTTCGATCCCAGGACCCTGGGATCATGACCTGAGCCGAAGGCAGATGCTTAACGACTGAGCCACCCAGGTGCCCCTCTATCACTGTATTTTAAACTCTGCATA